AAACAAGGAGTGGGCGTGGTGTAAGAGGGTGGAGGGATTGGGTGAGTAGGGGTGGAAAAGAGAGTGGAGGGGTTGGGAGAGTAGGGGGTGGACGCACAATTGGAGACTAGAACAGGGATTTTGTCAAAATGTCGCTTTCGTATGTCATGGCAGCCCAAAGGGCTATGACTGAAAGAGATAAGAGAGAGAGTGCACAATTAAAGGCCCAATCATATACTTCGTCTACTGCAGGCATCAAAGTCAGTCAATCCAGAGCGCTGGGAGAAAAAGCCCTCGATTCCTTGATGGGAAAAACACAAATCACGACGCCGGTCAAAGTAACGAAGGAAGTGGTCAAGGGACAGGATGGAAAGGAGGAGGAAGTGGACGTATGGGAGTACCCGGAACAGGATCTGCAGTCACTTCATGATCTCTATGCACGTCATGCTGTATTATTTAATTTCTCAGGCAAAAACAAAGAACTCTCGCCCAATGAAAAAAGAAAGTGGGTGATGGAGAGGCTCAGAGGACTAGAGAACATACTAGGAATGGGACCAGAGGTGTCATACCACAAAAGAGGAAGATTTACGGTAATGATAGTTTGTGTGGATCCAGCGTACGCTCAATTTTTATTATCCTTGGGTTCTCTCAAATGTCATGGATCTGTGGTAACCATTCAAGCATGGAAGCCTCCTCAGCCACCACCGGCGGAAGCATCGAGACACAGGCAGTCTATGCTCAGAGATCATTTTTGGGTACAATTTGACAATCTTTCGGAGGGTATGCACAGTTTCGTTTAACAACGTCTCATGGAGGAATATCCAAATAACCCAATTATAGAGTAGCTCCCTGCTAATCCAGATTTTCTTTCTCCGAATCATGATTCCAGGGTGGCATGCTTGGAAGTTAAGTCGGGAGCTCCACCAAAGTTCCCAGAGGTCTGGATTTTTCAAAGAAGGACAGAAAGAATAACGGTCTTTATATCCACAAAAAACTAATCCTTTTTGTTTTAAGTGCAGGGGGAGGGGACATTTGGGGATGCACTGCCCGCAGTCTGTGGGGGGGTCAGGAGGTAGTCAGCCACAATTAAAGCAATCAATGCTGGTTGAATCAAACAACAAACCAGGGGTCTGGTTTATTAATTCAGCACAATACAGAGGCTGGATTTTTTATGACAATCTGGACACTCCACGATGGGTGTGGATTTTGAGCAGAGCACCAACGGTGAAACCGGACATCTACCCTCCATATGATAGCAGATGGCGACAAATGGGTGCAAAAAGGATGGTGGATAGGGATGTGAGCTTTCTCACCAAGCCTATGATAGATGAAGCTACGGTGATGGATGACAGGCAGAGATTACAGACCGTGGCAGAGCTAAACAAAGTGGGACGATCGGCAGAGCAGGCTTTTCTGGAAAACAGGAGAGCAAGAGAGGAAGCAAGGAGGTCGGAAGCAAAGGGAGGTAAAGACGAGGATGGGGGCGATAGTGTGCAGGAAAGTAAGACTGGGTCAAGGAGTAGGAGAATGAGAGAGGAGGAGTCTGTGGGGGAAGAGGGAGACGGGGTCACCGGGAGCGAGGACAAGGGAGGAGAATCATCAGCCTCGCTTAAGAGGAAAATCACAGATAGGGATTCAGCGAAAGGTGATAGCTCATACCAAGGGTCAAAGAGGACATATTCAGGGAAGGGAAACGATGGTTTATCTTCAGAGGGGGAAAAAAATCATGATGATGCTATGAAAGAAGAAGGTCAGGAGGATCAGGGTTCTCAGGGGGAAGAAATGGAAGTTACAACCTCTTCAGAGGACACGTCAACGACAGCTTCAACAGATCAACGAACAGATCAAGGGCCTGCAACAGGTCGAGTCAGATCTACAAAAGCATCATCGCCCGAGGTTTCGAAAAACACAGCACAAGATCTCGGGGGGAAGACTGTTGAAGGGGAAGGAAAAATGGCACAGGATTCAGATACAGATTTGGATAGGGATAGTGACAAGAGGCAGGATGATTGGGAGGAGGAAGAGGAGGAAGAAGAGGAGGAAGAAGAGGAGGAAGAAGAGGACGAACCGGAAACACTGGCTCAGTGGATAAAACATGTTCACAAATTAAAGTGGGAGAGGCATATTGAGTGTGAGATTCGTCTGGCACATCACAAACATTTGCGCACATCACAAACATTTGCGCAATCTGAAACAAGCCACAGCAGCGGGGGAGGACATTACAACAGCAAACAGATTCGAAAGACTCAAGAATGAGCAAGAAGTTAACGAGTTCTATGCCACGCAATATGGAATGAAGGCCAGGTTGGACAAGAACGACATCATGGTGCACAATGCAGGCTACTCTAAACAGTTCATTTGGCCGAAGTCCTATCAGCCACAGGGTCTGAAGAGAGCTGAGCAAAAGAGAAGGGCGCAACAACAACAATTGGAGTTTTCGGGTAGTATGGATCAGGATTTGTCAGATTCCACTCAGGGGGTGGGGGTGGATGAACAGATGGAGGAGGAAAAGAGGCAGGCAGTGATCTTGGAGGCACAACTGGAGGTCCTCAAGGAGCATAATAGGGAATTAGGGGAAGACACTATAAATCTGCAGAAAATTGCCGATGCTCCACATGCAGACATCAATGCAGCAGCCAAACTGTATGCAAGACAGGAACCATGGAGGAGAATTGTTATGCCGTACAGATGGAACAGCGGCAATGCTGATTGGGAGGTAGCCATCCACAGATCTCTAGCATTGATTACAGTAAAGGACAGCCACTGCGAGCATGTCATATTGAAAGAACATATCACAAAAGACCTGCCTTTGAAGGTACACGTCATTGGTGATCTCAACCAGGATAGGGAAGAATGGGAAGATACGGAGGGTACAAAGCACATGTTGGATTACAGACCGGTCATGATTAAGTTACAGGAAAAGGCAGTCCTGGCGGATGGATTCATCTGGATGCCATGGCAGGTAGTGGAGATGATTCCATATGGTCTCCTGGGAGGGTCGGAGGCGGCAGAATGGGTGGCAAGAGGAGCAGTCATAGTGACCAAAAGTGATGTATTTGCATGGCAACCTGATTACATTGACGGAAAGATAGACATTGTGGCTACAGCAATAGAGTGGACACAGACGGGATCTAGAGTAGTGAATTCGAATAAACGTCAAAGGAAATAACTTAGATCATGGAGGAGGGTTTAAGAGAAGGAGTTTACAAACGTAGAAGGACAGTGGAAGCGTCAAAGAGTAGGGAACCAGACTTGAGGGTTATGTCTTGGAACATCAATGGTATGGTACAAATTTTGGAAAACAAAGACAAGTGGGATAACGTAATAAAGTATTCAAATTTGTTTGGGAAGACACCCCCAAATTTTTTATGTTTGCAGGAAACTCACCTAACGGAGTCCTTGGAGCATCAGAATATTCAGCAGAGAATAGTAAGACAGTTAAGGTGGGTTAAGGCAAGTTTTTGGGCGGTGGCTGGCAGGTCACATTCAGCAGGAGTAGTAATTTTATTGAACAAAAGGTCAATGGCAGCAGATAGAATATTAGTATAGGATGTCATACTAGATGAAAATGACGGTCGGTGGATAAAGTTCAACTTTACTTATCAGGATGAGCACTTTACGCTCATTACGGTCTACTTTCCTAATGGAGGTCATCAGCGGGCGGAAATGATAGATCGGATCCAAAATCTCATTGACCCATCAAAGCATCTTATACTGGTCGGGGACTGGAACGCCACTTTGGATCCTACTAGGGACAGATTGCAAGGTGGAAGGTCAGGGTTAGGGGAAGGAGGGATGTGGGATGAAGCCCTTCCTATTCATAATCTTATGACGGCTACGGATTTGGTGGATCCTTTTAGACTTCAACAGCCTGAACAGAAACAGTTCACATATTATAAAAGGAATCGTAGTCAACATATGTCAGCATCAAGGATTGACTATTTTCTCATATAACAAGACACTGTGGGAACGGTACACTCGGTGGGAATAGGGGACTTACCATACTGTACATGTCTAGATCATAAACCTATATTTCTTAACTTTATTATGGACAAACATGTTCACAAAGGCAGGAGCTTCTATAAGGTGAATAATTCATTATTAAGAACTAAGGAATTAAGTGAAGCTTTACTAAATGTCTGCCTAATACACAACCCGTGCACACATTCATTTGCGGACCTGATAGAAGCTCTGTCATCAACAACGACAGTAGTAGCCAGACAGCTGGCAGCAAGGCGGGTGGCAAGAGAAATGGAACTACAAAGGGCATTGCGGATAGCGGAAAAGAATTTAATTAATAACCCCCGTTCGGAGATGTATGAGAAAATAATACAAGAAGCAAGAAATGAATTGGGGGATTGGGAGAGATGGAGAGCTAGAGGTCTGCAAATGAGAGCGAGAGTGAAAGAATGGGAGGAAGGGGAAAGAATGACAAAATATTTCTTCCAAAAGATTAAAGCAAGAGGAAGAAACAAGCTAATAGAGCAGTTGGAGGGTCCCCAAGGATTGGTCTAGGATCCGGAAGGGATGCTATCGGTGGCCTACGACTTTTATAGTGCTTTATACACTTCTAGGGAAGCTGATCATACTCCTCATCACTTGAAGGAGGTCAGAAATAAGTTTCTTTCATATCTGGAACCAACGGTGAAAAGAGAGCAGGCAGAAAAATTAGATGCCCCTCTTTCCCAACAGGAATTGAAGGAAGCACTACAGTCGATGCCTCCTAACAAGACGCCGGGTAGGGACGGATTAACTAAAGAATTTTGGATGGAGTATTGACCTATCCTAGGAGGAGAGCTACGTAGCACCGTGTTCACGTTCGCCTCGCCCGAACGCGAACAAGCGCCCAAAATCCTCCGAACGCGAATATAAAAAATATTTATTAAAAAAAAAAAACGTTCTCCAAAAAATCTGGAAAAAATGTATGTTATGTAAAACAACAATACAAGCAACTTTTTCCTTGGAGTCATGTTCAAATTCGTATTCAATCATGAGTTAAAAATAAAAAACCGATTTTTATTTTTTTTTTTAACGAAAAAAATTTACGTTCGCCCGAACATGTTCGCGACCTGTTCGCACGAACGCGCGAACATGAAGGGGTGCGAACACGTTCGCCGTGCTACGCAGGAGGAGAGTATGAATCCTTTCTCAATCAGGCCTGGCAGAAAGAAGGATTGGGGTTAGAATCGGCAACAGGCATAGTTACTCTGCAGTATAAGAAGGGAGACCCGAGAGAGATCAAAAATTATAGGCCAATTACATTGTTGACTCTCACTCACAAGATTGTGGCTAAAGCACTAGCTAACCGCCTGAGGAAGGTTACAGAAAGTTGTTGTCATCTAGATCAAAAGGGATTTATACCGGGAAGATTTATATTAGATAATATGATGACCTTATCAGATTCAATAAGGTACATTACTAATAGAAGGATAAATGCAGCTATTCTCTTTTTCGACTTCGAAAAAGCATATGATCAAGTCAATTGGAATTTTCTACAACAATGTATGGAGAAGATGGGGGTGGGTCCTAAATTTCGTAAATGGATACGTGTACTTTATAATGATGCACATGGGCAGGTCCAGGTTAATGGCCACCTGTCAAATCGATATAAAATGACAAGGTCGGTGAGGCAAGGGGACCCTTTAGCTGCTCCTATTTTCTTATTCATAATGGAAGCTATCGCCTCATTCCTCAGGAAAGACCCTTCGATAGACCGGCTGGTTGCTGAGCCTGATCACCAGGGACGAGTCACACAAATACCGACAACGATATTATTTGCGGATGATTTGACGGTACTAATCAGAGCAACAGACTCTTCATTCCAAGCCCTAACGAGAGCAATGACCGCATTCCAGCTAGCATCGGAAATGAGAGTCAACTGGCAGAAGACGATGGGGTGGTGGTTATCACATGATGACCAACAACTACAGAATCAGCCACATAATTATGAAGGGATGACTTGGTTACCATGGGATCAGACAATGAGATACTTGGGTATCACGATGACGGGTGAGGGTCCCCATCACTCTATGGCGCCAGAGCACATGACAAAAATGCTATTAAAGTTGGCGTCGTGGTCGGAAATACATACCTCACTGTTCGGGAGGGCACTAGTCATAAATGCGCCCATCTTCTCTATGCTTTGGTATGTGGGAACGATATGGTCACCACTAGCGGATACATTACAAAAGCTGAGGAAGGTGGCAGCAACATATTTATGGACAGCAAACCCTTCGAGACCTAACTTTATATAAAAAGTAGCATGGAACCAAGTTATTCAACCAAAGGATAAGGGAAGGTTGGGAGTTTTGGATCCAGGGCAGTAGATAAGGGCACTTCAGACTAAGTGGATTATGAAGTTGTTAACACAGCCTCACCTTGGGTGGGTTCCTTTGGTTCTCGATCACATACGTCAGATGGCAAGATATAAAACGCCAGACAATATGAAAGGTACTTTCTGGTTATTTTGTAAGGGTTGGACGAAGAAGGATAGAATTGAGAATCACGAAGTAAACCAAGGGATTACTAGGGGTTCATATTGGGCTCAATTGTTCAAAATATGGGAGGAGGTCTTCCCGGCGAGAGTAAGAAAACCGAAGACGAAGGATGAGGTACTTAGGCAACCCTTATTCTGTAATCCATGGTTAAAGGACTCTCAAGGAAAGCCAAGAACACTAACATCAAAAGATGCCAAATGGGGAAAGTGGTTACAACACGGTGTATGGCAGGTAAAACATCTTTGGTCAGACGACAAGGGGGGATGGAAAACAGGTAGGGAGATGAGAGACGAAATGAAAGGATATCACAGACTAACGGAAAATCTGAATGACATTCTCATCTCCATCCTGGATGAGTGGACAACAATACTGAAGGAACCGGACAAATGGGGCGGGGGAGATTGGGCAACAATAACCACTAACGATGAACCAGAATCAGTCATTCGTATAAGACAGGAAGTCGGCCTTCTCAACCAGTGGGTTGAAGAAGATATGTACACAATACCTCTCCAGGACTCACTGTTAGTAAGCTGGATAGGGAATCCAGGGTTCCGATAGTCATCAAGAAAAGCATCCTGAGAAAGATGAGAGTGGTTGAAAATGAAGATTTTACGATATTTGAGCCACTGATAGCCATTCGGGATCTGGAAATTGATCCAGCAGAGTGGGCATGGAATATAAGGGGAAGTTCGTCAAGAGTAAGCAGGAGAATCAATATACTTCAGTATACTACTAAACTGGGCTACCGTCTGAGGGAGAGACCACGACAGTTGGACCACATTTTGGCAAGAAGATGGGATAAGACATTAGATATAGCTAGGGTCCAAATAGAAAAGTTACCTTGGTCAAATCTGCACAGCATCAGGCTGCCTAAGGTTAGGAGTATGCAGTGGCTTATCTTTCATGTAGCACTCCCAGTCAATGTGTGGTTGTTCGGTAGGCAAAATAGGATCAATAGGAATGACACGGATCAAGACTGTGTTATGTGTTCGGGAGGTGTATTGGAAACTCTGATACATTGCTTGCTCCATTGCTCGGAGGCAGAACATCTTTGGTCAATATCACGTGAATTATGGGCACAAACTACGGACATCCCATTCCCACATAACAGAAAATTAAAATTGATTGGAAGTGAAGTTCCTGGAGGATGGAAGTCAGGCCAGAAATATATCTTTCAACTTTTGAGACAGTACACCCTATGGACAATCTGGAAACGAAGATGTCAAAGGGTAGTGGGTAAGACTCTGTTGACAAGAGGGGAAGCCAAGGCAATACTTTATAACTTGTTGGAAACAGAGATTAGGGCATTATGGAGAAGAACAAAGAAGCAACTTCAGCTTAATCCAGAAAGGGCAAAGGACATCTTATCTAAATATCACAACAGGGTATTAGCCCAAGTCAAAGTTGCGACGATTGAAGGACAAAAACTGATCTTCCATTGGTTCAAGGAGAAGCATCAGGTGGATAATATAGATGATCAGCGGTCGACACAGGAGTTGAGGTTGCCTTAAGGAGTAAATGGGAGACTAGCTTTAGCAAAATTTTGTTTTTCCATATAGGGTTATGTACTTTAGACAAAATAAGAGGAGTTGTTATCTGCTAGGACCTTTCTCGTTACTCATGATATATATGACAGGTTGTACCATGTGACCTGAGAGGAAAGGATGAAGCAGGGCAAGCTGACAGTCAATCCTCTGCGATATTGGAGCAATCAATGCTGGTCAGGGGTCCTTCGGCCAGACGGAAGGAAGTGTGAGTGAGTATTTTTGATATATCTTTTATTATGACTTGCCAGTGGAATAGGAACCGGAAAAAAAAAAAAAAAGTCACTTAAATTTTTACCAAGGATTGAGTAGAGTCTTAAAACATAGGACGTAATCAGACAGAGGGGTAGAGCGGAAGGAGAAATGATAGCACTAGGGTTTAGGGTTAAGGGGAGGATAGATTGAAAGTGAGAGGGGAGGGAGAAGTTAGGTAGTGGTAACCTGGGGGTAGGATGGTCAGTTCTTTGGCTCCAAAATGCAACCTAGAGA